TGACAGTTGCCAAGAACTTCACTTCCCTGAACCTTGGTTTTCTTATTTGCAAAATGAAGACTAACCCCTTCCTCATAGTGCTGTTAGGAGGAGTAGAGATAATGATGACTGCTATTCGTCAAAGGCCAGGTGCTCTGAAACAGGTATTGTTATTGTTATCCTCATCTTATAGGTAAGGAGACTGAAGCTAATGGAAATGCAAACACACACAACACACATATATATATATATAAAGATAAAATAATATAGTCAAAATGATAATTCAAGATGAATTTTGATGATCATGCATTGTAACTCATTGAGCAAAATAAAAATCCATGACTCTACATTGTCAGAGAAATGAAGGAAAAGAGAAAGCTCCTCTTTGGAGTATATAGTAAACATAGGATGGAGTTAGAAAACCATCAGTGGATTCCCAAGCATTTTCCAAGCTCTTATAATATAGTAATAATAGCCAGCGCCGCGGCTCACTAGGCTAATCCTCCGCCTTGCGGCGCTGGCACACGGGGTTCTAGTCCCGGTCGGGGCGCCGGATTCTGTCCCGGTTGCCCCTCTTCCAGGCCAGCTCTCTGCTGTGGCCAGGGAGTACAGTGGAGGATGGCCCAAGTACTTGGGTCCTGCACCCCATGGGAGACCAGGATAAGTACCTGGCTCCTGCCATCGGATCAGCGCGGTGCACCGGCCGCAGCGCGCCGGCCACGGCGGCCATTGGAGGGTGAACCAACGGCAAAAAAGGAAGACCTTTCTCTCTGTCTCTTCTCTCACTGTCCACTCTGCCTGTCAAAAAAATAAAAATAAATAAAAAATAAATAAAATTAAAAAAAGAAAATAATATAGTCATAATACCTAATGCCCACATCTTGACTTCTAAATGCCATTCTCTACTACAAAGAGTCAGGGCTCCTTGGAAGAGAATGACTAATTTCAGATCTGGGACAGAGAAAGTATTAGATAGGCCCAGAGCAGCTTGTGCCAGAAAAGTGCTCAAAGAAAGATGGAAACACGCCAAAGGACACAGGAGCCAGCTTGGAGGGTTTCCTGCTGGCCAAGTCTGGGGCATTTTGAGCATCAAAATAAAGAATGATGTTAATGGGTTATAAATAACCCATTGAGTAAAAACAGACAACTGTGAATCCATACAGATATAAATAAATGTAGGAGAAAGGAAAGTTCTCCGATATAGTGGAAAGACAGCAAATATAAGGGTACTTCAAAAAGTTCATGGAAAAAAAAAGTTCATGGAACATGGAATTAAAAGATAACCTTATTTTGGCACAGAAGCCTTTAAATTCACACATAAATGCCTGGAAATGTGTGTTACGAAATAAGTATGCATGGATTTCCAAAATGTTTTGCAATGAAATAAGCCTATCTTGTAATGCCATTTTTCAGGAATTTTTTGAAGTATTCTTGTATATGTGGAAAGAATGATGACATTTGTGAAAAATCATCATTTGGCAATCTTGGGCATAATAATTGTTTCTCTCAAGGATCATCAGTGAAATGCTGGTGATGAAATGCTGGTGGGTGAACGTTTGAAGAGTAGCAGGATATTTACATAATTTCAATGCATCGCTCCCTAACTTTACAGTGGAGACGTCACATAGCACAATGTATCAGTTCATGTCACAACAGCTGCTGCTAAGCCAGGGGTGGCCCGCCTATCTCCAGTCTTCAGTATTTGCTGTGTCCAGCACTGGAGCTGCCCTCTCCCATTCTTTTCTCACTGTGCTACTGGCACATTGCATTGTCTCACACCTCCAGGCCTTTTACATTGTGCTGTTCCCTTTAACAAATGCCTTCGTTACCTGGCTGATTCTTTCTTGCCCTTCAAGATTCAACTAAGGGGGCCGGCGCCGCGGCTCACTAGGCTAATCCTCCGCCTAGCGGCGCCGGCACACCGGGTTCTAGTCCCGGTCGGGGCGCCGGATTCTGTCCCGGTTGCCCCTCTTCCAGGCCAGCCCTCTGCTGTGGCCAGGGAGTGCAGTGGAGGATGGCCCAGGTGCTTGGGCCCTGCACCCCATGGGAGACCAGGAAAAGCACCTGGCTCCTGGCTCCTGCCATCGGATCAGCGCGGTGCGCCGGCCGCAGCGCGCCGGCCGCGGCGGCCATTGGAGGGTGAACCAACGGCAAAGGAAGACCTTTCTCTCTGTCTCTCTCTCTCACTGTCCACTCTGCCTGTCAAAAAAAAAAAAAAAAAAAAGATTCAACTAAGGGAGCCATTGCAGAAAAAACTTTCCTGGCTCCATCTCACTGCCGAGTCGGGCTTCCCTTGTTTCTTTGTGCTCCCACACACCCAGGGCTTCCTGTACTTAATATTGTGTCTTGATGTTATCCCCACCAGGCTGTGCACTCCTGAGAGTCTTCTCCTGCACTGTCCAGTGTGGTACTCCTGTGGCTCTTGAAATTTAATGAAATCCTCAGCTCCACTGGCCACATTTCAAATGCTCAACAGCCACATGGGGCTGGTGGCTACCACGGTTGTAGAACGTTCCCATCATGACGGAAAGAGCTACAAGACAGCATTGATCTGGGAACATAGGTATGAACCCTGTGAGATTCTGAGACCTTTATCCTTTGCTCGGTGTTATCCCTCCCCATCCACATCCCCAAAGCGATTAGCAGTAGCACCTTTTATATAAAAAACCTTTTTGAAATGGGCTCCTTGGGGCCTGTGTAGCGGGTAAGGCAGCAGTGCCGGCATCCCATATGGGCACTGGTTCGAGTCCCAGCTGTTCCACTTCCGATCCAGCTCTCTGCTATGGCCTGGGAAAGCAGTAGAAGATGGCCCAAGTCCTTGGGCCCCTGCACCCATGTGGGAGACCCAGAAGAAGCTCCTGGCTCCTGGCTTTGGATCAGCACAGCTCTGGCTGTTGCAGCCAATTGGGAAGTGAATCAGCAGATGGAAGACCTCTCTCTCTCTCTCCCTCTACCTCTCCCTCTCCCTCTCCTTCTTTCTATGTGTAACTCTTTCAAATAAATAAATAAATCTTAAAAAAAAGAGGCTTCTTGTCTTCAGGTCCTCAAAAAACAGGGTAGATGAGGCAATGTTCTCCCCCTCCACAGTCTAGACAGTGAGCTCCCAAGAGAGGGTGGGGTGGAGGTAGCCCAGTCTAGGGATTGCAGTGAGGACAGGAGAATTTAGGAAAGAGCTCAAGGAAACGTGAAGAAGCCTCAGAGGGGCCCAATAACTTGGTACACAAGTTGCAACCAATAAATCAACCGATGTACTCTAAGACTTAGCTTAGGGAAAAAAAAATTCATTCACTCGTTCATTTGATCAACAAAATTTTAGTGACATCTGTGCTATGCCAGCCTCTGTACTGGGCAATGCTCTGGACAGAGATCATGTCACTCTCAAGCCACTTATGGCCTGTGGTGGGAAAGACAGATAATGATGTAAGAGAATCTCAGAGAATGTAAGAAAGGGCACATTTGGAAAGGATGGGTCCTCTGAACCCATCTTGTAATAGTGGGGAAACCTTCATCAGGGCTGTTTGGAGGAGCACTTCTAACAGAGAGAAAGGTACAGGTGAGGTGCTGAGCTTGGAAAGTAGACACAGGCATTTACAGGCAACAGGGAATGGATTGCCAAAGTATGGATGGGGAATGAGAGTTAGGACTAAAGAGATAGGTTGGGTTGCTCTGTGGAGGACCTCCAATGTCAAGGAGTTTGCACTTGTTTCTGTAGATGGTCAAGCAGCTGACTGGCTGAAGGTAGATACTTCATATGCACCTGGTAACAGCTGTCCTGCAAAGACTGCTATCCCCATTTTACAGGTGAAAGTGCAGACTCTGAATAGCCAGGTGCTTGCCAAAGTCAGCACAGTCAAGTCACTGAGCCAGGATCTGAGCTGTGGGAAGATGCAACCACCCTCAAGCTGAAGGTGGGAGAAAGGGGAGCCACCAAAAAGTAGCACAGCTTGATCCACGGGGTGGGGGTGGGGGGTCAAAATATGCTCAATGGACTTGACTCATGGCCCTCTTAGTCTAAGGTCTGGTCCATGAGGCCACGTCAGTTGCAGAGAGGCCCCAGCTGCTGCTTTTGCTGGTTGCATCCCCCTGGGTTGCCTTTAAACGTGCAGATGAAGAAGAAAAGAAAGACATTGGTCCAAGCCGCTCAGGAGTGGGGCCATCCAAACCATGCCTTCTTAGGGGCCCTTCCACATTCTAGGAAAGCAGCAAAACTATTGATGGAAGCTGCTTTCTAAGAACCTTGCTGATCTTAACCAAGAGCCACTGCTCGGCCTCATCTCTTCTGTGCTAGGCAGAAAGCCAGGATATCATCAGCAGTCCTCAAAACAGGTTTCTTTCATAGGGAAGCAGCCTCAAGGACTGGAAAGTGGCCTGGGCAGAAGTCAGGACACGCCATCCTGACTTGCTGTGTGGCCTTGGGAAAGCCCCTTCCCTTTGCCCAGCCTGAAGGGCGTCTAAGCTGTTATCTAACATCCTAAGTCCATACACAGAGCTCTTGTGACCTCTCCAGTCTCATGCCTTCCTGGCCCAAATCACCTGCCAGCCCTGCCGCCAGCCATTGCATGGGAGTGATGGAGAGGGGCTCCAAGGCAAAGCCAGACCAGCCACAGGAAGGGTGAGAATAGATGCCCCAGGAATGGAAGGAAAGAAGTGGCCAACCCGTGAAAGGAAGACAAGGGGGACTAACTTGGCTGCTTGGCATTCGTGACCTCCTGTGATATCACACCTCCACGTGGCAGCGGCTGATCACCCCGAGTTTCAAAGTGAGGAAACTCAGAGAGGGCGAGCCTCCTAAGGTCTCATGCCTCAGTAGCAAAAACCCTGTCACAAAGCCTGCCTATGCGATGAGGTGGGCAAACTCCCTCATCCCCACCTCCTACCCAGCTGAAGCATCCCCCCGCCCCCTCCTCCACCACCCAGTTGCCCCAACTTCTACCCCATTAGCACCTCCCTGGGCTGAGGCCTCTCTCTCCATGGGCTTCACAGTGGGGAAGGGGGCATAAGGAGGAGGCAGAGGCGGGAGGTGAGCACAAGGTCTTTTATGAGGCATCAAATATACATTCTTATATACACAGAGGAAAAAAGACAATGCCTGAACCCCAGCTCCTCTCCATACAGCCCCTCCCACTGCCACCCTCCCCCTCCCCAAAGCCCGCAGGGTCCCTGGCCCTTCATCCAGCCAGGGTCCGTCTGTCTGTCTGTACTGCAGCCCATGGTGGAGAGGGGGGAGAGAGGCAGGAACCAAGAAAGGAGCTGGCTATGTGGGGGCAAGAAGAGGAGCTGGGGCTTGTAAAAAATATATTTATAATAAATAAACAGGGCTGCAAAAGGGCTGGAGAGGCAGCGGAGATTCTGACGGACAGAAGGACTCAGGCATCCTGGCTCCCAGCCCCGGCTCTGATGGCTTCAATCTCAGCCTCAGGAAGGACATCTTGGGCTCATGGTGGCCCTCTGGGAGCCTCTCTCCCCAGGGCTGATGCTGGGTGCCCTGCCCCAGCGAGGTGTGTGTGGGCGATATCTGTAAAGTGCATTGTCTTCAGTTGTGGGGGGGGGGGAGGGAGGAGGTGTCAGGGAAGGGGGGAGGGGCATGCAATATGGGTGAGGGAGGGCAGGGCCCTTCTCATCCCAGACCTGAGCCCCCCCCTCCCACCCCCCAACAAAGACCTGTCTGAACTGTGATCAGGATAAGAAGGTTTGCAGGGCAAGGCAAGTTCCTGAAGCTGAAGAGGTCTGGGCTGGGGCCTACTGGAGAGAGGGCATAGATTGGCTCGAGAGAGAGGAAGCACTGCCCCAGATGGGGGCCAGCATAAGCGGGGTCCCACCCACCCAGTGCATTGACAGTCTGTGTCCTCCAGCAGGCAGAAAGACACATGGAGGTGTGTGGCCAGGCCCTGAAGTCAGAGAGATGGGCCGGGCCAGCTGAGTTTTGGCCAGGACTCTCTCTCTATAGTGTTCTCTCCTCACTACCCCTCCGATGGCCAGAGGAGCCTTGGAGGAGCCTTCGCCCCCTATAGCTTGGGACGCCTGCCCTTGTTCCCCAACCCTCCCCCTCACCGGGCCAGAGCTGAGAGCGAGCTCACACTGGCCTGGAGGTCTGAGGTCTGAGGCCACCGAGCCAGACCTTCAGGGAAAAGGGATTTAGGAGAGGAAGACAGGAAAAAAAGACGGTGAGGATCTCTGCAAGGCCCTCACCACTCCCCAGCGCTGGGGTGCCCTGAGTCCAGGCTGTAAGTGGTAAGGGTCCTCGACCCTGGAAGGGAAGCCCATGGCAACTGCTGGGGCTTGGAGAAGGGGTCCCGAGGCAGGGAGGAAGTGGGTAGGAGGACACTGCTATGGGTATATATATTCGGAAAACACTGAGGAAGCAGAGAGGGCCCAAGGTCCCTCGCCTGTGGATCCCCCAGATCTCTGGTTGCCCAGCTCACTCTCTCCATTCATCAGACCACGGTGCTGATCCGGCTTGGCTTGGCCTTGGGGTTTGCACTGGGTGGGTTGGCAGTGCCAGGGGGCCCAGAGGCGTGCAGCGGGCCGTGGGGAGAGGTGGGTGGCAGGGGTGAGTGCGGGGTGTGGGGTGAGGGCGGGGGCAGGGGTGGGTAGGAGGGGTGGGGTGGGATGGGTGAGTGCGGTGACAAAGGCGACTGGGGGTGGTGGGGGTGTGAGTAGGAGCCCCCTGGCGGCCGGGATCCAGGGCCCCCAGCTGCTCCTGCTGCTGGCATCATCTGTGGGTGGTGACTGAAGATGAAGTGCTTGGGGCCCTGTTTGTGGGCAGGAGGGTGCTGGGGGGCAGGACTGTACAAGGGCAGAGGGGACGTGGGCTGGTGCAGGGGGTGGCGGCCATGTGGAGCAAACTGAGGGTGTCCTCCAGCCCCCCGTCTGGGAGCCCTGCCTGGCCGGCCCAAGGTATAGTGCTGAGGCCCTGGGACTGGGCCGTGGGCATGGAAGTGGCGATGCGGCCCCACGGGTGGGGCTGAGGCGGGAGGTGGCGGAATGGAACTCAGCTGGGGCAGGGGTGGGGGCTGCTGAGGAGGTGGGGGTAGAGGGGGTTGCTGCGGTGGGAGGTAGGGCGGTGGGGCAGGGCCTGGTCCTTGGCAATACTGGGCATGCAGGGCCTGGAGCTTGGACTGCCCGTCAGGCAGCCCCCCCAGGCCACCGTGGCTGTGACCATGGTGGTGATGGTGGTGGTGGTGGTGAGTGGAAGAAGCAGATGAAGAGGAGGCAGAGGCCTGGCCTGTTGGCGGTGGTGGTGGCATCTGGAAAGGCCCCTTGCCCCGCTTGCTTCCAAATAGGGAGCCCAGGAAGGATGAGGAGTTGGGAGACGGTCGTAAAGCTCCTTGCATTCTCTGGCGGCGGGGGTGGGGGCGGAGGTGGCATCCTCTGGTGAGGGCGTGGACTGCTAATAACAGACCCCTGGAAGGGGGAAGGGGGGCGGAGTCAGGCCAGTCTAGCCGCCCTAAACCCCCAACCCTAAACTCCACCCCTGTCCCTGAGGGCTGAAGCTGGGGAGACAGGGAGCCCCAGGTTGGAACAAGAACAACAACAACAAAAAAACACCCCGAAAAGCACAGTCCTGGACTGGTAGACGGAGCTCCCCCCACTTGCAAAGCTCCGCTGTGACATCCACTACCTCAAGCTGAGCCTCCGTGGCCAGAAGAGGACTTGGCAGTACCTCCTCCTCGTGCCCGGGGTTTTGCAGGCCAGGAAAATGTTAGGCCCAGGCAAGGCAGAGGGACTTGCTCAGGGTCAAGGAGCAGGACTTGGAGGCCAGAGCTTCTTGTGGCCCAACTCCAAGGGCATCCCTACTTGGAGTCGGCCCTGGGGTTGAGAGGGGGCATGGGAGAGTGGAAGACAGACCGAGAGACAGGCAGAGTGAGGACAGACAGAGCTGAGGACAGATGGACAGAGTGGTTGGCTGGGAGAGGCAGCCGCACGGTTCCCAGAAGGGAAGAGGGGGACGCAGCCGGTCCCCTCCTCCTCTGGGGCTCCGTGGCCGGGGCAGGGTTCATGCAGAGGATGAGTGGGGGCAGGAGCTGGCACTTACTTCGATGGTGCTGTCCAGCGATCCCACGCTGTTACGCCGCCCCCGCTTCCCTGCACCCACAAGCAAGGAGCCCAGCGTCAGAGCAGCAACCCCCCCTCCCCACCCTGCTGGGCTCCAGAGCTGGGCGCCAGGCCTGGGCCCCTCCCGGGGACAGACACCCCATATCCCTTTTCCCCCATTGAAGAGGGGGAGGCTGGGAGGAGGAGAGGTGGAGAAGGAGGAGAGAGAGGAGGAAAAGATAGAGAAGGAGAAGGTGGTACAGGAGCGACAGAAGAGGGTAAAGAGGAGGAAGAAGGTGGAGCGGCGAGAGAGAGGGGCAAAGACCATGGCCCCACTTCACGCTGCCTGGCCCAAACCCTGGGCTCCACCTGTTCTGACCTGGCTACCAGGCCCCCTTGGGGTGCCAGGGCCCGGGACTCCGGGTGAGGGCAGGGAGCGTGCGTGCGTGCGTGCGTGCGCGGCAGGTGGAGGGAAGGCTGGCGGCCAGTGACAGGAGGCAAAGAGGACACCGGGTCCCACGTCTCCCCAGCCAGGGCGGGGGGGACCCAGGAGACTCACCTGCATCAGAGAGGTCTCGCAGGGAACTGCTGAGTGCGCCCCGTTTGAGCCCATCGCCTGCCCCATAAGTGTCCTCCAGGCTACTGCGGGCCA